GGCCCAGCCCCCGTGGGCTGTTCCCCGGTCAGTCCCTCGCGCTGCGAGCCGCCCGGGGCGGCGTCCTGCAGCTGCACGGGTCGTGGGACAAATGCGAGTAGCTGGAGAGAGGGATGTTTTTGATCCGTTTGAGGTGTTGCGGCCTGAGGAAAATGGCAATCGCGAGTGAGCGCTGGGTCGAGGATGCCCAGAACCGGGTTCTCGCGGTCGGCCCGGGTCGGCCGCCGGGGCCTGATGCGGGCAGGGATGGCGCGCGGAGGCGTCGCAGAGACTTGGAGCCCTCCCAGTTGTTGCCCCGACGGACCCTGCGCCGGAAGTCCTGACGGGCCTGTGGCGTCCCCCAGGCCGCCGCCTCGACCCCTTTTGCAAGCAGGCAGGTTTCCCAGGTGCAGACTGCGGGGACACTGGCCACGGCCCCCACATCCCCTTCCCAGTTTGTGCTTACTCTGTTTCTAGGACAGGAAATCCCCCTCTCCCCAATAGCCTTTTTTTCCCCCTTCAAATTATGTCTAAATCGTTCTAAGCAGATGCAGTCTTTATTTTTGAAGCTTTCCCCCATCTTAGCACCACCTCTTTCTAGCACTCACCATTTGAAAAAGTCAAGCTGTTACAGGTTGCTTAGGCAGCAATGGCCTATAACCTGACAGCAGCTAGCGTGTTTGTAAACTAACTCTCCTATTACATTTGACATTCATTCGCTCAGGGCAGAGCTGTTGATTCTCTCAGGATTTTGCCAAGTATGTAAAGTACACTTTGGAATCTCAAAATCAGCCGAGAGCCTTATAGAAAATCCAGTTCATTCTTCTCGTTTTTCAGATGAAGACACCAGGCCTAAAGAGCGTGGTCTAACTTGATCAAGGACTACACCTCTCTTTACTTAAAAAAAATTATTTAGTTTAATTATTACATTTTTTTTTTTGGAGAGGTTTTTGCCCTAGGGTGCGTGCGCTCGCCAGAAAGGAGAAATCACCCCCCAGGGGGGATGACCACGCCACAATCCCTTCTCCTCCATTCTCCTCTCGGGATCTTGGGCACGCACGCACATGCACCCGGCGTGAGTTTTAAGCCACCAGGTCTGGGCCGTGAACCGCGGTCAACTGTGGGAGTCCAGTGACATAGCCATTAAGCTAACTGCTGGTCCCAATTATTACTTATTTTTAAATTTGCCATAGGATACATGCACTCACCAGAGAGCGAGCGAGCGAAAGCCAGTCTCCGGGGCCGGGAGTCAACATCTCTATAGCTAGGCTCCAGACACCTTTGTCATTGCTCTCTTCATCATGAGAGGACTGACTGCACTGCTAGTTTAACCCACTGGCTGGAGAACTGAAGAGAAGGTATTCACTAGAAGTGACTGCACTGGGCTTGATTCAGGTTATTGAGGAAACAGGCTTGGCCACTGGGTGATGGCCCGGAAATAGTGAGGTTGGCAATATGTTTAGGTGATGTACTTTTGGAACCTAAAGCTTATCCCTCCTCAGCCTACCCAATCCTCAACTATTCCAACCCTATTCTTTGCAAAAATAGCCAATAGCATTGGTTGCTTCCTTAGGTTAAGTCATCCAAGTCCCCTTTAGCAATCTGGATATGTCTTAGTTAAGTTAGTTACCCTTAGTTAAGGGTCAACGATAAATCCATTATCGGACATCAGCTCCTTAATAAGAAACAGCACGCTGGTAAGATGGACATGGAAAAGGCTAGTTGTGATGGAGTATGCCCCCCACATGATCTGCTGCACCTTTCTTGCCCAGACCCATCCCGAATGCCTTCATTTGGATTTAGTGCCAATGGAGTCTGCTCTTGCTTGGCCCATTTATTGAGTACTTTCAGTGACCCATGCTACCTGCTTTCATTGATGAATGTTCAGTTCTTACCCAAAAGGAGGTGTTAATATCTCCATATTACAAACATTTCACAAGCCCGAGGAAGCAGGCCGAGAGAGATTGACTTGACTGCAGCGAGGCCGTCATCTGCAGTGAAATTTAAGGCTAGATCGCTTATCTCCCACGTCCAGTTAATGCTGTTTTGCGTTATATCTTGCTTCCACTTCTAGCCGGGAAGGGGATGAGAGAATCGCCTGTGGCTGATTTATTGGCGCCTGTGGTTGCCCAGAGAGGCCAAGCAGGACTCTCAGCTGCTCTCTACGCCTTAGAAAGTGGAGCTATGTGCTTCCACCCTATCTCCTGAGGGGAATGCGAAGGAGCCAGGCTGTCTAGCTGGGGAGGAGGGGCCCAAGTGCCTTGGCCGTAAAATATCCTGGCTGGGGCTATGCTGGGAAGTGTTGCATAATGCCCTCCCTACCACTGAACCAAAGTGATTTTATTTACTATGGTCTGTACATGGTTCTTGACTAACTTGTCCATTTTAGTAATAATAGGGTCAGAAAAGAGCTGAGGGTTTTATATTAGTGTAGGTTTTTTTTCCTTGCTGTTAAAAAGCAATGCAGGTGTTCTTACCTTATAAAGTTCTACACGACTTCCTGTGCCCTCCTGCTTATTCCAAATAGCATTCAAACTTCAATCTTTTGAAAGGAGAAAAAATATATATATATATATGTGTGTGCACGCACACACACACACACACATATATATATATATACACACACATACATATGTGTATATATAGTTTATAGTTACCAGTGCAGATTAGAGTCAAATTTGTTTGAGCTCCACGTTATACAATTTACTAGTTGTGTGTCCTAAGCAGGTTTTCCTTATCTATAAAGTAGAAATTAAAATAGTATATTAGTCACAGAATTAAGAGAGAGAATTTATATAGAGCACTTAGCACAAGGCCTTGCATTGTATGCAAAATATAGTATCAATATTTACTCTCTGTAATAGTAGCTATAGAAAATAACCAGTACAGTACTAGTCCCTCCAGGAAAGGAATGATACTGCTATTTGTAACTACCAAAGGAGAGTGGAGGAAGAAGAAAGTGTTTGAAGCAAACATGAGTTTCAGGATTATTGACTGAATTTATTTATACTTCTTTCCCTTTGCTGCAGGACTTTTTATTTTCTTTTCCTGGGGAAAACATGTTCATAGTGTTAAGTCAGTTATCGTTGAAATTTTTCTAATTCATTTCTCCTCTGATTACAAATCAGTCATACATGGATGATTTCTTACATGGACGTTTTCCTCTTCCTGAAAATGAGGCACTTGAAGCAAAGGGTTTCATTAGCCCGTGCAGGCACTGTGTTCTTGGAACTGTAATTCTGTGGCAAAGGAAGTACTGGTTCACCTACCTGCGGAAGTTATCATCATTTTTGTCTGTGTTGTATTCATTAAGATTTTTTTTTTTAGGGAACCAGCAGTTAGCGTAATGGCTATGTCACTGGACTCCCACGTAGTCGACCGCGGTTCGCGTCCCGGACCCAGTGGCTTAAAACTCACGCCAGGTGCGTGTGTGTGCGTGCCCAAGATCCTGAGGGGAGAATGGAGGAGAAGGGATTGCGGCGTGGCCATCCCCCCTGGGGGGTGATTTCTCACTTTCTGTCTCTCTGTCTCTCTCTGTCTGTCTGGCGAGCACACGCGCCCTATAGCAAAAACCCCTTTAAAAATTTTTTTTTTTTTTTGGAGAGGTTTTTGCGATAGGGCACGTGCACTTGCCAGAACAACAGAGAGAGACGGAGAGACAGAAAGCGAGAATCACCCGATGGCCATACTGCAATCCCTTCTCCTCCATTCTCCTCTCAGGATTTTGCGTGCACACACACACACCCAGCATGAGTTTAAGTCACTGGGTTCAGGACTCGAACCACAGTCAACTACATGGGAGTCCAGCAACATAGCCATTACGCCAACTACTGGTCCTGTGTTGTATTAGGTCTGTACTAGCATTATCATTTCCAAACGTTCTCCTGTTCTTTTTTTTTTTTTTTTTTTTAATTCATAGCTGCAGAAGACATTTTTTTTTAATTTATTTAATTTCATTTATTGTTTTTTTAATAATTATCTAATTTGAAATTTAATTTTAATTTTTTTTTAGAGGTTTTCGCT